ATATAGGGCCCTGGCGCCAAAGGATGGGCCTGGCTCATGACGAGCCGGCGGAATCCCCCTTTTTGGCGATGAAGCACGCGGCGAAATGAGTTAGATCTTTATGTTCTGCGTTTCGCTTGTAATATCTTATCACTTTCCTTGCGCTGCCTGCGCCTGTGGGCCCCTGTCAGGGGGGGCCCGCATGGCTGTCGCTGGCGCTTGACCAGGCCAGCTCCTGTCGCCACTTTGCGGCGCGATCCTGGCCCGATGCCGGAGCGTTCCTGCCGACGCTTCGCAGCTCGTGTCAAACCGAGTCTCCGCGCGTTTCCTTTGCAGAAATGTGGCTGAATCTTGCCGCTCGCCCCGCTGGTTCCCTCCCCCCTCGATTCTGAAATCGGAGGTTCAGTGTATATATGTATGTATGTATGTATGTATGTATGTATGTATGTATGTATGTATGTCTATATACATACGTACATATCTATGTATATATATACTTACATATGGATGTATAGATATACTTACATATGGATGTGAATATGTGTATATATAGATGTGTCTGTGTATATATATATGTATGTATGTGTGTCGTTGTGTATATCTCTATATCATAGCATAGCGAGCGTGCCGCGGGCGTCTGGCTCAAGGTGCCGGCGCCCGATTTGCCTGGGCCGCTAGAGGGTTTCTCGGCCCATTATAACATCGGAAGGAAGCGACTGGATCACGCCCCTGGAAGACGCGCCATCTTACACCATATTCCAAGCCTCCTATATTACATGGTCCTCATCCTGTTTTTTGCTGGCGCGTCGAGTCGGGCGGGCGGGGCATTGAAGGGCGGGGCGCGCTCGACCGAGCAAGCGCGAGACCGGGCGGGCGGGTCGAGTCGGGCGGACGGACCCTAGCGGGCGGGGCAGGGTGGGCCGGGCGGGCGGACCCTCATGGGCGGGTCGGGTCGGGCGGGCAGGACATTGAACTGCGGGGCGCGCTCGACCAAGCACGCGCGAAACCCAGTGGGCGGGTCGGACCGGGCGGGCAGACCCTAGCGGGCGGGTCGGGTCCGGTCGGGCGGGCCCTGAAGGGCGGGTCGGGTCGGGCGGGCGGGGCAATGAAGTGCGTGGCGCGTTCGACCGAACAGGCGCAATCCTTAGCTGGCGGGTTTGCTCGCGCGGGGGATTATTCACGGGCGGGCCAGGTCGGGTCGGGCGGGCCCTGACGGACGAGTTGGGTCGGGGGTCGGGCGAGCGGGCCGTGGAGGGCGGGTCGGGTCGGGCGAGCGGGGCATTAAAGTGTGGGGCGCGCTCGGCTGAGCACGCGCGAGCCCTAGCGGGCGGGTCGGGCCCGGTCGGGCGGGCCCTGAAGGGCGGGTCGGGTCGCGTTCAGCCGAACACGCGCAAACCTTAACGGGCGGGTCGGGCCGGGCGGGCGGACACTAACGGGCGGGTCGATTCGGTTCGGGCGGGCAGACCCTGACGGGCGGGTCGGGTCGGGCGGGCGGGGCGTTAAAGTGTGGGGCGCGCTTGGCCGAGCACGCACGAACCCTGACGGACGGGTCGGGTCGGGCGGGCGGACCCTAACGGGCGGGTCGGGTCGGGTCGGGCGGGCCTTAACGGGCGGGTCGAGTCTGGCGGGCGGGACATGAAAGTGTGGGGCGCGCTCGACCGATCACGCGCGAGTCCTAACGGGCGTGTCGGATCGGGCGCGCGGACCCTAGCGGGCGGGTCGGGTCGGGCAGTTTCGCCGACGACAGCTGGTTTCGCCGACGGCAGCTGGTCTCGCCGACGGCAGCTGGTTTCGCCGACGGGGTTGGCTTCGCCGACGGAGCTGGTTTCGCCGGGCGGCGAAACCAGCCGGGCGAAACCAGCCGTCGGCGAAACCAGCGGTCGCCCTCGCCTTTGGGAGGGCGTCCTGCTAGTCACCCGAACTTCTCCTCAAAGGGCACCCGAACCCCCATCCCCCATCCCACCCACAGTTTTCCTCTTCTGCTTCCTTGGCTTTTCTTTCCGTGGGCAATGAGCCTGTCAGTCACCCCCTCGCTGGTTCTCCTCCTCCTCTTCCTCGTCTCCAAGGGGGCGTCCTGCTTGTACCAGCATCCCTCCTCCTCCTCCTCCTCCTCCTCCTCCTCCTCCTCCTCCTCCTCCTCCTCCTCCTCCTCCTCCTCCTCTTTCTCCTCCTCCTCCTCCTCCTCCTCCTCCTCCTCCTCCTCCTCCTCCTCCTCTTCCTCCTCCTCCTCCTCCTCCCTTGCCTCCCTCCCCCGTCCCTCCCATCCACATTGTCCTCCCCCTCTTGGGGTGGGAGGGGACAGGGGGGGGGCAGCAGAGGGGGTCGGCGGGGGGGGGGCGGGAAAGGGGAATTAGGAGGCAGACAGAGACGAGAACGACAGGGGAGCGGGTGGGCAGGGGGATGGGGAGATCGGGGCAGCGGGAGGGCTGAAGCGGATGAGAATTGGAGGCAGGAGGAGGGGCAGAAGGAGGAGGGGGACGGGATGAGCATCGATAATGGAGATTGGGCGGCTTTTGCTTGGGGGTCCACCAGGGATCTGCGCCGACCTCCAGGGACACCTGGGGATCTCCAGAAACTTCTGGAGGCATCCAGCCAGGGACTGGATGGAGAGCTGAAGGCTGGTCGGAGGGAGCGGAACAGGGAGTCGGAGGTTGGGGGAGCCCTGAGGTAAACGCGATTGTGGGTATTGCAGCCGTAGAAGCGTCATCACATTACCCTGCAGAGCCCATGGGGAAGTCTGGCAGTACATCCGAAAGCCCACCAGGAAGACTCCACGCAACGCAACCTAACAACGATGAGTATAAGCACATTTGGAAGCATTCCCCTTAAGATTCAGGTTCGAATCCAGTTGTAGAATCCTGCTGTTCTCGCAGTCGCAGTCGCATTCGCAATGACAGTCGCAGTGGCAACGGCCTTAGGATCCAATGGAATCCTAAGGATTCCTGGGGATTCCTAAGGCATCCTTAGGCATCCTTAGGATCCACAGGGATCCTTTGGAAACCTTAGGAATCCTTCGGAATCCTGAATCCTAGGGATTCCTAGGGAATCCAGACGATGCCTACCTGAGCCTGCCTCGGCCTCAGCCTCAGCCTGCCTCAGCCTCAGCCTGCCTCAGCCTCAGCCTTAGCCTGTCTCAGCCTCAGCCTGCCTCAGCATCAGCCTCAGCCTCAGCCTCAGCCTCAGCCTCAGCCTCAGCCTCAGCCTGCCTCGGCTTGCCTCGGCCTCAGCCTCAGCCTGCCTCGGCCTCAGCATCAGCCTCAGCCTGCCTCAGCTTCAGCCTCAGCCTTCCTCAGCCTCAGCCTGCATCAGCCTCAGCCTCAGCCTGCCTCAGCCGCAGCTTGCCTCAGCCTCAGCCTCAGCCTCAGCCTCAGCCTGCGTCAGTTTCAGCCTCAGCCTCAGCCTGCCTCGGCTTGCCTCAGCCTCAGCCTCAGCCTGCCTCGGCCTCAGCCTCAGCCTCAGCCTGCCTCAGCCTCAGCGATAGCCCCTCAGCCTCAGCCTGCCTCAGCCTCACCCTCAGCCTCAGCCTGCCTCAGCCTCAGTCTCAGCCTGCCTCAGCCTCAGCCTGCCTCAGCCTCGGCCTCAGCCTGCCTCGGCCTTAGCCTGCGTCAGCCTCAGCCTCAGCCTGCCTCAGCCTCAGCCTGCCTCAGCCTCAGCCTCAGCCTGCCTCGGCGTGCCTCAGCCTCAGCCTCAGCCTGCCTCGGCCTCAGCCTGCCTCGGCCTCAGCCTGCCTCAGCTCGGGCATTCAAGATATGGCACAGGACTTGTGTTCTGGGAACACGAAGATCACGAAGTGGCCCACAGTTGGCTCCGGGCCATCAAAATATGCTACAGGAATTGTGTTCTGGGAACACGAGGAACACGAAGTGGCCTACAGTTGGCTCCGGGCATTCAAAATGTGGCCTGGGAATGGCGTGCTTGGAACACGAAGAACACGAAGTGGCTTACAGTTGGCTCCGGGCATTCAAAATGTGACCTGGGAGTGGTGTTCTGGGAAGACGAAGAACACGAAGTGGCCTACAGTTGGTTCTGGGCATTCAAACTGTGGCCTGGGAATTGTGTTTGGGAACACGAAGAGTAGGAACCCATAGGAAACTATAGGAATCTATAGGAGTCCTGGGGAGTCCCCGGGTTCCCCGGCTTCTCCCGGCACCCGCCCAGCCCCCCTGGGGAGTCAAGATGTTCTCTTTTGAGCCCGCTAGAAACCCATCAGTCTTCGCTGTTAGGTAAAAAGAACGGAGCTCCCTTCTTGGAGCGCCCACAATCCATCCTCCACGCGAGGCTGTCAGACTGTCCGTGCATTCTTCACGGATTCGGGCGGCCCATGCGCAAAGCTTTCGGTTGCGACCCTCGGCCATGGCAGAAAATGGTTGGGCCGTGGATCTCCCCAGCATGCTTTAGCGATGGAACGAGGCGTAGGGTGGGGTGGGGGCATCAGGAGCCAGGGGATGCAGTACGGTGGGTTCGTGTCGTGTCGACGCGGCGACGGACCCAGTGCGGGCGTTCAAGGTTGAACGCCGCCGATGGCCCAGGCGGCCGATCTGGAGCGATCTGGCGATCGAGAAGCCGCCGATCAGTCAAGGTTGAACAATCCACGCGGTGTCCGAGACCCAAGCTGAGGTCGCCACGACACGAACATGCCTAGAGCATTTTGGACAATGTGCCGCTTCAGGTTCGGAATATGTGCGGGGGTCCGTTTGACCCTGCGCCGCGTTTGCCCCTCCGGACGCTCCTCGCAAATTTGGGCGCAACCAGGCCCCCCAAAAGGATGTCCTTCCTTGTTCAAGGGTTCTTGTGGCAAGAACTCGGCTGCAGCGAGGAAGGAATGTGTCAGTGGTTGTTCTCTCTTGCAGTTGCGTGACCATGTCGAACATCTCGTCACACATCGCACTGTGTGGTCGCAACCGTTTGGGAGCGAAACGGGTCCTGTTCGAATAAGCCTTCAATCATGAAGCGCAGGGATTATCGTAAGACAGTCGCGTGCTGCATCATCCTTTGCCTTGACATCCGTTTTGCGCGTGCAGGCGGAGGGCTGCCGGAACATCGTGCGCTACTACTCTTCCTGGGTAGAGGACGGCCGGCCACAGTCTTTTTTCCTCCACCTTCAAATCCTCTGTCACTGTGTGCTATCACCCGCCCACCGGCTGACCAACGCACGTAAATTCCTTTCTTCTGCCGTTTACCTGTGCTACTGCTGCTGGCCGCCCTGATCTTGCCACTGCTGTTGGTACTCCTGCCAGCGCCACTGCTAACACAAGCAAAAAGATTTGGTGATCATACCAAAGTTATCCACGAAGGATAGTTGTTCGAATACGACGCTTCTACGTTTGCACACTTTTACTGATGTTACGTCCCCGCAGGCGTTCCAGGCTGAACCACCTTGTGCCTCCCTTGGGATCACTGTAAACATAGTCTAGCCTTTCAGGCGACCTTTGGGACGCATTGATTGGGCGAGGACGGGCCTATCGCGGATGCTGTTCGGGGTGCTCTGGGGATTTAGGGGCCCATCGCGGATGATGCACTGGGCAGATTGAGACCATATTGAAGATTTGCTGGGTCATCCTTTGCGTTTTGCCGTTTTGGCGCCGCCTCGGAATCGTCTCGGGCAATACCACAGCGATTGCGATAGCAGCGTGTGTTGTATCCCCCGCAATGTTTGCGACGGCTTCGAGGCGACGCATGAACTCCACAAGGCCGATCTGGTCTGGTGTGGTCCGGTCCTCATCCTCTTCTTCATCCATGGCCATTTTTGCTCAAGATGTTTGTTACCGCGGAAACAAAGTGGATGCCTTTGGTCCGCGGCCAGCTGCTTTATTCCACTGAGCTCCTGTCGAACCAAAATCCACCTCCCGCAGACGGCCTGGCGGGTAAACGGGGCAGTTCCCCGTTCTTATCAATATACCTGCCTCTCATCTCATGGGCGAATCTGCTCGCAAGGGATTTGGCCATCCTCTCCGAATCCAAAAGAAATTCAAAAGGTCGCATAAATCGTGCTATTGCTACTTCCCGTGATGATGCGGACCTGCCTCTCGGTAGCGAAGATCATCCCGCTCCCGAGCTGGCTGGCGCTGGCAGTTTTGGTTCCGGCATCTCACGGCAACAAAATCGACCTAACGAACATGATAATGGCATGTTTGAGGATGATGGTGATGATGATCATGATGATGATGATGATGATGATGATGATGATGATGATGATGTTGTTGATGATGATGATGATGATGATGATGATGCCTGCGATGATGATGGTGATGACGACGATGACGAGGATGATGATAATGGAAGCGGCGCATGCCTCGGCCAGCATGTTTGCACCCAGGTCATCGAGCAGTTCGGATACATCCGTCAGTTCCCCCTCGAGAACCTCTCCACCGTCGTCTCCACCACGGTCGAGGACAAGGTCGCCAGCCTGGCCTCTGCTCTTGACGAGCAGGCTTCGTGGAACATTGCGATCGGTGATGTGCTTCCTGATCTTCCTCGCATGGCTGAAGATGCGGCCAAGAAGTTCACATTCATCAAGAACGATGGTTTCCATTGGCAAATGCGAGAGCAGATCGATGCCCATCACGCTGATGCTCGGACCCATGGAGCGGAAACCAAACTGGACGAGCACGACACCGTTCGTGACAACATCCGTGAAGAAATCCAACAGATTCGAAAACAACCCTTGCCCTTGCAAGCGTTCTGCCCAAGCCCGCCCCCAGCTGTGCAGGCTTCGTGCGCAAGATCGACAATGTTATCCTCACAGCTTCCACGTCTTAGCTCGCAAACCTTAACAGTGCCAATCAGTGCTTCACGGATTGGAGAACCACCATGAGCGTGCAAGCCGTCGGCTTTTATATCGAGCCGGCAGAACAAGTCTCTCGTTACTTCACAGTCATGTCCAAGTCCAATTCTACTTGGGCAATCTGGCCAAGGTACTGGGTGCCTAACGGCTCGGGCGTGGGTACCCCCGAACAGATGCAGCAGATGCCTCGCAATCTGGCCTCCATATCGGTGCGGACAAGAATGCGAAACATCGACATGGAGGTGCAAGGCGAACAGCTGAGAGTGGCCGTCCGCGCAATGGACCCCGCACAGACATGGTTCATCGACCGTGGCCGCGGCTGTAGCATGACAGGTTTGCACCCCGTCGCCCAATTCACACCCCCTCATTAGAAATTGCGAGGCAGACCATCGATTGGCCAACAGCCCCAAGGCCAAGCTGCAGCTCGATCGACGGCGCGTGAAGCATCTGGCGCAATACATCGCTGCACGTCTTGAAGTTGCAGGACGGCTCTTGTAGCACGTCGGCGAAAGTGGCGTTTGGATTTCCGTCGAAAGCCCCGCGTGCGTCATGCAGCCCTTGGAACACCGCGGCCCTTTGTTCCAAAGCATGGGCTCCATGGCGCAGAAACTGAACTATTTCATGCGTCGCAGGAGCTACGTCCAGGCGACTGCCAACTCCGCCAGGTTCCCGCAGCAGGTCCAGCGAGGACTGCAGGCGTTCATTTCAAAGTGCGGCTCCTTTATCCAAGGCAGCGTCGCCACTGTCCTCACTGCCACCTGCAATGCCGACATCCGGAAGGTTGAGGGCATCTTGGTCACGCGCTACGCTTGCCTATCCCGGCGAATAAGCAGCCGATCGTTCCTGGTGACATTTCTCAGCCAAGAGCTGAATTGTAAGCGCGCGCTGGTATTATGTCGGGAGGTTCGCTGGCCCCGAGCGCGGCTCGAGCGCCGACACCACAGAAGGTAGGGCTGCATGGCGGCTTCAACTCATCCAACCCCGCCCCTCTGGTTCTTCATCTACCTGGACGCGCGGACGTTGAACGCAGGAGTCGACGTGCTCAGGCCCCCAGTCGCCAGGAGTTGGCAGCGCAGGTGACCAAGGTCCCCAGTGCCGACGCCTGTCGTTGTGCTGAACACGCTACCGCGGTTTCTGCCGTCAACAGGTTTGAGACCAGCTGGCCGACTTGGATGTTTCGCCAGACCATCGCCTCGCCCGCTGCCATTCGCCCCCCAGATGCAGCGGCGCGCGGCCAATCGGGCGAACGCGCTGCGCAAGCTGCGGTTCTTCGGCAACCGAAGCATGACGAAGGCAGTCAACAACGCGACCCTCGGCGCATTTCCCGCCCCCCGCAGCTCTCGGCGGCCCACCGCAGGTCGACGCAGCCCGTCAACTACGAGGACAAGCCCCCCCCGAGCCAGGCCGAGTGGCGCAACTGGGCGGTGCTCGAAGTGGCTCGAAACACGTCGTCGCGTAGGCGCTTGCTCGCGCAGTTTGGAGGGTGGGCGCGGGCGCGGCAAGAGGACTTACTGACGGGCGCCCGATCTCATTGGGTTTTATCGACGCGGCTCGCGGGCGCGCCCGAATTCGCCATCCGCCATCGCTTCTGCAATGGCCGGACAGAATGCAACGGGGGCGCGCCGAGGACTGCCGGAAGCAGCTCGACGCTCAGGCGCAGCGGTCTTTTTTCGCGATGCAGGCGAGGTGTCGACACCAAGCTTGCGATCGTAGGATTGCGACCTCCCCCCCCCTTTGTCCCGCCCCGTGGCCCTGTGCGCGGTCGGGGGGCCCGAGACGGAAGGCGCCGCTATGGCGCGGCTGACACGAACGACGTTCTCCTCAACGGTTGGACCTTATTTGAAGCGAAGAAGCTCGTCGATGCCCATGCGAGACAGCCCGATGATGCCAGTGTTCCTCCATCGCCCCCAGCCCCGCCCCGCCGAATTCGGAACGCGGCGCTGATTCGATCGCTCACGCAGCGCGGGCGGCTGCGCTGAATGGCCTCGACGTTCGAGGAGACGCGGGCCGCGCGGGGGCACATTCTGCGCGACGGCGTCAACGACGCGCCGCAGGTCTGGCCGCCCACAGGATGCGAGGACGCCACGGCACCTGCGCCCGGGCGCCCCGGATCCCACCCCCTAGCGCGAGAGGGCCAGGGCACCCAACATCGACGTGACGATCATTGCTTAGTGGGTCAACGCGCAGCGCGGCCAGCTGCTTCCTCCGTGGATGCCACTGTCACATAGAGGATGCATACACGGTCGGGTTTTCGGCGCCAGCGCTGTCGTGCTGGACGCCTCCGCGCGCGTTTATTCTGGTGCTTCGACAGCTTGCGTCGACATGCCTGTCCTCGCGGCTCTGGATGCGCGCGCGACCCCCCCTCCAGCCTCTCCCAGTTCATCCACGCGCGCAGTATTCAGCGCAATCCAGGACCCCCCCGCTCCCGACGCGATTCTCGACCAATGACGCCCCGCGTTGCAGGCCATCGCCACGACGGATGGTCTCCCGCAACATGCATGGTGGATCGACTGTGGTGCATGGTAGATCGAGTCTGGCGCGTACTCGGCGGGTGGTTCTACGCGAGAGATGCACTTCGACTGGGCATCGCTGGCTCTTGCGCTGACGGCATTGGATATGGCATTTCAACCCCCGCAGCTCAAGACCGCCCGCGGCATCATGCAGAGGGCCGCCTGCATCGCATCTCTATTCCTGCAGATGCACAAATGCAAGCTCGTCCCACTTTATGCTACATTATCAGGTGAGTTGCGCAACCGTGTCCGCGCTGCCCATGTGTCCTTTGTGCTTGGCTTCGCGCTTGTGGACACTGGCGACGCTCTGCTCCACCTTGGCATCCTCATGGGGACTGCCGCCGATGGCGCGGCTCGCCAGCCAGCGCCCATCGTCAAAGTTCAAGCACCGCGCCAGCTCTTTGTATCCAGCAGTGCTTCCATCGCCCAAGTCACCATGCAATGTGCTTCGAGAGTGGTTCTAGTCCTCAGCGATGTCGCTCAATTGCGCAAGATTGCAGCCTCCTGCCTTTCTCAAGATCTGATCGCGCTGATTCGGGCCCGTCGGCTGCCGCTGACGTGTTCAGCAGACCTACATGGCTTAAGCAATGCAAGTGCGGTGGCCCCAAAGTACCCTCCTGGCTTGCGACACGCACTGGCGCTCTTAATCACAGTGCGAGGGGCTCTGCCGCCAGCATATACTACTAGGCGACTGTCACTGCGTCCGTTCGCATCCTTTATGCTGGGCCCTGTGCCCAGGCAGTCCGAAGCTTTTGTCGAGGTCCTCCATCGCGCGACGCCGGCGTCAACATCGACGGGATTCCCAAACTACACCGCGACGCGCTGAAACGCGGCGGCGCGCGCTGGGCAAATCGGCGCGCGCCTATGCCGCCACTTCCTCAGTCATATCCAGCAGGCGGCGGCTAGAGCTGCTTCCAAGAAAATTGCTTATTCTGCCCCCCTCCAGGCGGGCATTTGCTCCCAACGACGGTGGACAAGCGATGGAGGGCCTCGCGCCGCGTTCCATCCGCGCCAGGGCGCCTTCCGCGACGACGCGGCTGCGCCGACAAGTTGCGCCAGCACCTGGACCGCCCGCGCCTCCGCCAGTTGGTCGAGGAAGCGATGGCGTGATCGCACCTGTCGCCGGCGCTTGGAAGGCTTGGCCCCATCGGGCTCCGGCCGCGGCGGTGGGCGAAGAGGTCTCCGACGCTGTCCTGACCTACTGCGCTCTACTGGTAGCCTCGCACGACATGCCCATGATCATCTGGCCTCGTGCTTCAACCCGCCTCGCTGTCAAGGCTGCCGGTTGCAGCGCCCGGCTCGGCGCGCGCAGGCCCGAGCATATCCCGGAACGCATGGCTCTTCCCCGATGCGATCAACCAATGGCCACGACCTGTTCGTCGCGATTGTCGTCTTCTACAAGCTCCTCTACCTCTGAGGGCTCGAGCAGCCCGCCATCGTCGCCGCGCCTAGACTCGCGGGACTGAGGCGCCAGACTGACCGTCGCCCCCCCAGAGGGACATCGATGCGTCACCGCGCGCGCGTCCACCGAAGACTCTGACCCCGTCGCTATCAGAACCACGGCGCGCGCGGCAATGTTATCAGCCACAGCACGCAGAGAGTTGCGGTTGTCTCACCTCGTTCCCCCTCGCGCCCCCCGCGCGCGGCCGTCGGCGTTCGCCCAGTCATCCTCTATACTGGCGACATCGGCAACGGTGATGATAGAGCAAGGTCTCTTCCTGGGGCCCCATCGCTGGAGTTCCCCGCAGGTTCAATGTCGACGAGCGGCGCCGAGTCTATTCGCGAGGAAGCCCCGATAATGTGGAACTCTTCAGGTTCCACGCCGCCGCGAATCAGGTCGCGCGCTGCAGGCGGCGGCTATTCGAGCGCTGGTTCCAGTCGCTCGATTGACCCGCGGAGCTGCGCGGGACTGGTTGCTGTTGGCGTAGAAACCCTTCCCTTAGCGAGCGAGGCCTTCCACAATGGCAGCTTGGCGCAGCGGCGGTTCTTTGGCACGGGCGACGCGAATGACCAGCCCCGCGGCATCGGCGCGCGCAACGACGACGCGAGCTCATTGACGCGATCTCGCTATGGACCCACCCTGGCTTTTTATCTACTTTCGCAGGAGACGAGACGCATGCAATGTGACCTAGATGCTCTGGCGCGCCCCGCGCGTCTTTGACGCGCAGCGGCGTGAAGGCTTCGAGCCGAGATTTGGCCTGGAACCTGGCCATTGGCCGCGTCGCCCCGGTCCGCAAGGCAGACGGGCCATTGTTGAAGCGATGCGCTCTGTCGGTTGGTTCTCGTTGGCTGTTTCTTGCGACCGCTTACGACAGCGATGTGGAGTGGGACTGCCATTCTTTCATTGCGGGCCCCATGCGTGAATTGGGAGTGAAGCGGGAGGTGTTGATGATACCGTTGGCCCAATGGCCAGCCCGTCCTCGATCTTCCCTTCGGGCGATGCCCACGCTGGCGCGCCCCCGTCTTCTGGCCTACATTCTTAGCGCTTGCCACCTTCCTCTCCCGGCTGCTGAAACTGAACTCGGTCTTCGGGGGTCGCCCAGAATCCTCGAGTCTCCAGATGCTGATCCCGTGCCTCAACGTCGCACCTGCCATCGACGACTAGCGGCGCCCCGCCCAAAGCCGCAAGTGCCTTGCCCGCAGCTTCGGCATTATGTGAACGCGCTGCCCATTCCATAGACGCATTTTTTTGGCGCCGCCAAGCTTGCGGGCGGCCCCCGACAGCCCGCTTCCGAGACCTTCCTGGATCCGAATTTCCCGTCGCAGCTTGGACGGGGTGCTGAAGCACGCCTCTTGCGAGCCGCTTTTCGAGCCTGCAGAAGGCCCCAGCCCCCGCCAGCGCGGACAACTTGCACCATCTGCGCGCGACCAGGCATGGCGTCGTTCTACTGCCGAGTCCCGCGAGCGCGCCAGTGCACAGTTTGCGCGTGTTCGGCCTGGCCGCGAGTCATTCAGGACACCATTTACTCTCGCATTCGCCTGGGGGAACTTGGGCATCAGAGGCTGGCTAGCGCGATCCCCCGCGCACGTCCACTTCGCCTTGGCAGCAGTCCTACGCGGGCAGCAACTGCGCGGCGTCGGCGGAGCCACTCCGGTCCATCAAGGAAGCGACGCACCAAGGTCGCGAATTTCCGCGGGCCGATATACTTGACCACGGCAGCAGCAGCTTTATTGCCAATGGCGCGCTTCCAGCTGCACTCGAGAATCCACGTCTTCGATCGCCCGCCGACACGGACATCGAGCACGTTGGGACTGAGGTTGTGGCGGGCGAAGCCGCGGAGCGCTGCATTGCCTGGGCGCTGGCGATTCACGACCAAAGTCAATGTCGCAGTCGCGACATCCACCCGCTTCTGACCGCGCATCCCAGACCCGAGTGGGCGATCGAAGATGACATGCGAGATGGCCCTCTACCATGGCAGCTGGCGGCGCCCCTTCCGGGGCCCGCTGGCGCGTCGAGCAGCCCGCCGGGCTCTTCTCTCTCGGCGCTGCCGAAGCTGACCTACTCGCCCGGCATGTCCCGCTTCAGGGCGCCGTCCCGCCGTCGATTGTCAGCTCTCCAATGGCGTCGCCCTCTCTAGGTGATGCGTGATGCGCTCATTGACCTCGAGGCCAATGATTGCGCCCGCGAGCCGCGAGCCTTCCGCCCGCCAGCAGTGCATCGGCGATGGTCCGTCTCGTCTTCGCTGGGGCGCGCAACCTGGCGATGGAGAGGCGCAGCGTCTCGCGGGGGCCCCCGGCGACCCCCCCCCCCCGTTTTCGCAAGATGATGGGCAAACCGCCTCTGACGGGCACGCCTCGCTCAGGTGCCCGTCGCGCTCGGCGCGCCATCGAGCACGTGGAAGCTCCCGCTGGGGAAGGTTCCCCATGGCTGGCCACGAGTGCTGGCAGGATATCGGCGACTAGATCGACCAGCGCGCCCCCCGTCACGGTTGTTCTCCCGGACCGACCCTGCCCCGTCAACCCTCGCGCTCGCGCGCCCGACGTGCCGACCTCGCTTCCTGATGTGCACTGGCCCAGGGCCTAGGAAATCTGCGGGGCTGTCTGGATCAGGACTGCGCATGTTCGAAATGGGCACGCTTCAATTATGGGGGCGCTGGAGGAGGCAGCGCGGCCGTCGGTCATGCGAGCGCCCCGGCCGCGCGCCGCTGCACGATCGAGGCGCCGGACGCGCCTCGCCCGTCAAGGAGGCAACCTGCCGCGCGATGTGCGGGGCGCGGGGGCATTGAAAAGATGGCCTTGCGCTGCTGCCCCCGAGCTAGAGGAAGAACATCTGCCTTATGTCCCATGTTGCGCTTAAAGAGGGGTCGACAGTGAGTCAGACGCCAGCAGTTCCCTTGCGACCAACTACCTGCACCCGAGACAACGCAAGGCGCGCGTCGGTCATGTGGATGCACCTGACAGCCCCCCCTTGCCACAAGAAGCTCCCCAAAGTCATCTTCAACGCCGCCGTGGCCCTGCTCGAACTGCGGGAGGCGGCCCCAAACTGCGACGGTCTCGTTAAATCGCTCGCTTTGTCAATGCCTGCTGCCCCCGCTCACGCCTGCGACGGCTGCGAAGCCCGCTGACGCAGCGTTTTAAACTTATCCGAGAGATGGGGCCCTGGGATGCATTACCGAAGCGAATATTTGGACGCAGCGCAACGCCGGATGGGGCAACGCGTCAGCTGCGCGAGCGCACAGCTGAGGCAGCCTTTCCGTTGCCGGACTTCCAGCGGCATCCCTGATAATGAGCACTGCGAGTTGCTTCGGTCGCCCTCAATGGACGCGCGTGGCGGCGGGCGGGGTAGGCATTAGAGAGGCGGCGTTGAAGGGACCCTAATTCATGGATCCGCATGAGATGGAACGCGAGCGCGCAGCACTCCGCATGCAGTGCGAGAGCCTCTGGGGATGGAGCCCCTGCAGATCCCTTATCCTTCGGATGTGGGAGTACTGCGAGTATGTGGTCGCCATTGCTTCGTCGTTGAGGGTGGCGGGGGGGGTCAGGACCCGCGCCCCCCACGCCTCATGACGTCCAACCATCCCTCTCAGCTGCGGCCCTTTTTCTTGATGGCGATCGCGGCGATTTCATCTCCTTCCACGACGCCTTCCTTGCCTATACCAACCAGCTACCTGTCCAAAAACATAATCTCGAGGAACTGTGCGTTGGCCCTTCGGCCTCCGGTACTGGCACCCATGATCCCCGTCAAAACCACGATGGTCAAGAAATGCGGTCTCGTCATGGCGAGCCCGTTCATGATGGCAGCCATGGCTTCGTCCACGGTTCCGCCGACAACCGCACCAACCACGGCACCCAGATTTTCGACACCCTGGGCGTCGACACCGCGAGCCTAGGTGGCTCGGACAACGCGCGCGCGTTGCGCACAGGCGCCGTTAGTCAGGGAAACGCATTTTCATCCACCAAGAGATTCTCCTCCCCCTCCTCCTCAACTGGTTCGCCTTCCTCCCCGTCTTCGCCTTCCTCCTCGCCCCCCCCTCCCCTGTCTAGCCCCAAAAGGGGGTACACCAGTGTGGGGGGCGTATCGGTGGACAGGGGTCCCGTCTCACAGCAGTGCCGTAGCATTCGGTTCGTCTCACCCTCCCCGTTTTGGGCTTCTTGTGGGCAGGACGGCCGCCTCCACATTCAGACCGAACTGTGCCAGTGCTCCCTGCGGGACAAGCTGACCCAGAAGTTGTCGACGCAGCTCCCTGATGGGGGGGGGAGCAGGGGAAGGTGGAGGGGGGGAAGAGGGGGGGAGGAGCTGTAGGAAGGGGGGGGGGGGCGGGGACGGACGAAAGAGGAGGGGGGAAGGCAGAATGACGGGGATGAGGACGGAGGAAGATCAAGAAGGAGAAGAAAAGAGGAGGAGGTGAGTAACGTGGTGGAGGAGGAGGAGGAGGAGGAGGAGGAGGAGGAGGAGGGGGAGGGGGAGGGGGAAGAGGACAAGCTAGGTGCGCTCGCGTCATATCTGACGTCCTACCCCTCCCTCCCATCCCTTACCATGGCGCTGATGTTCTCTATCCGCGGACGCGTGTCGTAGCGGACCTGTGGCTCCGCGCGCGCGTGCGTAGTGGGTGGTGGTGCACGTGCGTGCGTGCGTGCGTGTGTGCGTGGTTGTGGTTGTGGTGGTGGTGGTGGTGGTGGTGGTGGTGGTGGTGGTGGTGGTGGTGGTGGTGGTGGTGGTGGTGGTGGTGGTGGTGGTGGTGGTGTGGTGGTGGTGGTGGTGATGGTGGGTGGTGGCTGGTGGTGGTGGGTGGTGCTGGTGGTGGTGGTGTTGGTACTGGTGCTGGTGCTGGTGCTGGTGTGGTGGTGGTGGTGGTGGTGGTGGTGGTGGTGGTGGTGGTGGTGAGTGGTGGTGGTGGTGGTGGTGGTGGTGGTGGTGGTGGTGGTGGTGGTGGTGGGGTGGTGGTGGTGGTGGTGGTGGTGCGGCGCGGTGGTGGCGGGCGGATGGGCGCGCGAGAAAGAGGCCCGCGCTGGGGCGAGAACGCCATCCTGAACGACGGAGGCCAAACACCGATCCGAAAATGAGGCCCACGCTGCAGCGGGAGCACGATTCGGAACGATTCGGGAGCAGAAATGAGGCTGGCGCCTCAACGAGAGCAGCATTTTGGGAAAAAATGACGCCAGCGCCTCAGCGAGAGTCGTTTCCCGGGATTTCCCGGGAATCCTGTGTGTAAAAATACAGTACGCGGAGGGTGCGCGGCCATCACCCGGACGCCATCAGGGGAAGAGGGAGAGTATTTTCATATTGAGTAATTGTGGAGGAGGAGGAGGAGGAGGAGGAAAAGGAGGAAGGAGTGGGGATGAGTGTCGAAGTGGCTGGGGGGAACCGAGGAAGAGCATGGGCGGGGGGACGAAGGGAGGGAGAACAATGGGGAAACGGTGGATGAGGAAAAGAGAATGATGCGCAGGAGGGCGAGGAAGGAGGAGAAAGAAAAAGTTGGCGGGATTAGGAGGTTGAGGAGGAAGCGGGCGATAATGCAGCATAGCTGAAGGCGGATAAGCATGAGGACCAGGAAGGGGGAGCAGGAACGGGGGCAGGAGGAGTGGGCAGGAGGGATGGAAAACAAGGAGGACGCGGTGGACGGAGAGCAGGAGGAGGAGGGGGAGGAGAACGAAAAGTTGGAGGAGGAGGAGGAGGAGGAGGAGGAGGAGGAGGGGGAAGAGGAGGAGGATGAGGAGGAGGAGGAGGAGGAGGGGGAGGAGGAGGAGGAGGAGGAGGAGGAGGAGTAGGAAGAGGAGGAGGAGGAGGAGGAGGAGGAGGAAGAAGAGGATGAGGAGAAGGAGGAGAAGGAGGATCAGGAGGAGGAGGAGGAGGAGGGCTCTTTCGTCCTGGTCCTTGGTTTGACGTGTCTGCCTGAGGGCTCATGCTTTCACAGCAGTGCCAGCTCAATGTTGACAGACGAGTGCGTGCCTGGCGATTTTCGCGCAGTTTAAACCTTACATGTGCTGTTGGTCGAACTTCGCGGTGCTACGCTGATCTGTGATGCTTTGTTCCGTGCCAGGCCTCTGTCTGCGATGCGTCTGTGTTACCTTGCGCGGTGTACGGCGGGGTGGTCTCTGTGAGGTGTCATGCACGGGGTGGCCCAATTTTGTGCCAATCGTCGCGCGTCGCTGGACATGCGCATGCGTTGTTCGCGCTTTGGTCGGTGTGCCCACTCCTCCTCCTCGTGGTACTCCCCCTCCTCCCTTCCCCCTCCCTTCTCGCCTTGCTCCCTCCTTCTTGTTTCCCTCCTCCTTCCCCACTCCATCGTCTCTTTTGTTCGCTCTCTCTCTTTTTCTCTGTATGTCTTTATGTGTTGTTTCTCTCTCTCTCTCTCCCTCCCTCTCTCTCTAATTATCCTAGTACACCCCACCCACCTCTTTCCTCATCAATCCTCCCGCTGCATGTCCGACCCTGCCTTCCTTACGTACTGTCCTTCCTCAGTCGCCTCACGTTCCTCTACCATCCCTCCTCCATCCTTCTACTCCCCATCTGGCTGTCCTCGTTCCTGCTCCTCCTTCCCATCCTCCTCTACCCCGTTTTGGCTCAAGTCAACTCTGGGGATGAGAGCCCCCGTGCCGATGTTCGGCCTCCTTTCCACACTCCTCGCTCGTTGAGCCCAGCCCTCGCCCTTTGCACATTCTCGGATGGCTTCCTCTGGTGCCCCCTGCGCTCGGGGCCCCGGCGGGTGCAGCGGCTGCAGATCCACTGCCTGCACGTTTGGAGGACGAGGGGGGCACTGACGTCGACAGGATGAGTATGATGTCGGCGGGAGTCGCGGGGGGAAATCAGAAGGAGCGGGCCTTCGAGGGTTGTGAGAAGACCGCCGGCCTTCTGAGAAGTTCCCCCTGTCTTCGAAATAGACCACGGACACCTCTCAGAAGCCCGGAGGGCGTCTGAGAAATCCCGCGGTCTTCTGAGGAGGGTTGCCCCTTGAGAGCAAGGGGTGGTATGATCGAGGAGGCGGCCGCACCACAGGAGACCAAAATCACAGATACGCAGGCAGAGCTCACGACCGTGAAGGCTTCGATTACGTCAATCGAGGGAAATCAAGTTTCTTTCGAGACACGTCACACCGCCATCGAGGCGGTCCGAGGAGGAGGAGCTATGCCAGCCCCATTTTTGTTCGGCGCCTTTCTCCGCTACGCTGCCTGCTGCCTTGTCGTCAGCTTCGACGGCGGCGTTCATCCCGGTGGGCAGGCGCAAGGTTGTCAGCATCGGAGGCTTTAGGTACGAGTCGGGCGAGAAACTGGTCGAACAGGTGCGCACCGAGATGGCTGGTAAGAGGGTCGCATACGAGAAAGCCCCCACAGGTTCCTATTGCGAGAGGGTTCGGGTACACTTCGCGAGCTCGGAGCATTTGCGGCAGATGCTGAAGACCATGAACGGTCTGAAGTTCGACGGTGCAATCTGCGCGCAAGTGGGCGCTCTAAACTGTGGCACGGCATCGACAAATTGGGCCGGGAGACCGGCGTCTCGAAGCAGCAGGTGAAGGCCGTCCAATTGCCCACGCCCGCGGTGAAGGCGCGCTTCCCGAACCAGGCGGACCACTGCTTCAGCGGAGTCCTGGACATCAAGAATGACAGAGGCGAGGCCTTTTTCCTGCCAGCGCGCCCCCCAATCTGTCAGCACCTGGCAGGCCCGATCAAGCTTTACGACTGCTGCCGCGTCTCGCACAAGATGAAGGTATCGTCAACGGCAGTCGTTCTCTTGGCCGACATCAACCTCGACCTGCGGCTGGAGGCCCTCTTGCCTGATACCGAGGCGGCGAACGACCCCTGATGCGGACCCCTCCCTCTCGCTTAGAAGATGGCGACGGCGACAATTTCTAGATCATTCATGCATCTTGTTTTGTCATGTAAAGTTATCTCACTGAAGGGGGTGCCACGCTTTCTGAGAGACTACAAACAGATGTTCCTTGGTGCATGATCCTGCTGCAAGGAAGCTTTGCTCTACGCAGTGCCGGGGTTCCAGAGCATATCGATGGTCATCGTGTGATCGAGGCCCCCCCAAGCGGCAAGGACAGGTAGAATCCGGTATTCATCCATCGAGACTGCGGCTGGGAGGTTGGGAGCGTTGGTCATGGGTCACGCTACGTAGGCGCTGCGTGCCGTCATTTTGAATTATGTCGTGGACACCTGGGACCATCCCACCTACACCCTCCAAAGGATAGGGAGCTACTGCGTGTAAGCCCCGCGGAGATCCGTGAGCAAGTCCTGTTGGTCTCGCGTGACGCGAAGGTGAGCATAGGCATGGACGCTAACCGCAGTTGGGCTCCGTCGCTGATCCTGAGATTGTCCCCCCCCTTTTAGGCTCCGGCGCCCGTTCTCCTGGTGATCCTCCCCGTCTGGATAAGCTTGTCTGGAAAGGTCGGGAACTTCTCCTGGTGATGAACGATCTGGGACTTCGGGCCGGACACACGTTTCACTGTTGCCGTTGCGGCCGCTACGCTCATGTTCCTGACCTTAGACAGCGACGTAACCTTAAGCAGGTCGCCGACATGCTCACTCGGAGTTTCTCGCCGTCTTGCCTGACGTGCGGAGTGGATTTTTTTTCACGGCGGCGACGGCGGGGTACGTTGCAGCTCCAGTCAGGGCCCCGGATCCCGCTGGTAACCGGGCGATGGACGTGATGACGCACCCGCTCCCCCTGAAACTCATCAAGTGGGAATGCTCTGACGTTGCCGGGCATCGACGCGCCCTGAACGACGTCCTGGACACGGATCGTGTCATGTCGGCTTTCTTCGGGGACGTTGAGCCTTTCGGTCTTGCCGAGCGGGCCTGTCTGCGATGATGTTCCGAGGTCTCGCAGACGCAATCGGGGCGATCTCCTGGGGCGCGCTCGCCGGGTCTTTCCATTTCCCCCGACGGCGAGGCCGACGGCGGAGTCTCGCCCGATCGCGCAGGCGCGCGGCCCCGCATGCGCAGGACCCGAGGGCCCCCTACACATCAACGAGCGCAGAGAGTCTGACAGTTCGGCGGGGCTGTCGGCCCCGATCGAGGCTTTCATTTGGCTGCTGTAACAGGACACCCTCCTTCCCCACATCAGACTCATCCCCTCCCCGGGCGAAGACCAAGATGGTCTCGGGCTTCCGATGCGTTCGGCAGATCTTGTGGGGCCTCCGGTGGGATCTCCGAATCTAGCGGGTGTCCTGCAGTCTTCTTGGCAGCGCGCATGCGTGCGCTATCAAGCTTGTCTGCCTGAATGGCGTACATGCCAGGCCAGCGACCAGGGGGTCGCCGCCGTCGGCCCCCCGGCGACGGCGGGGGCAAACGCGTGCCCCCGACGCCCCGCCCGCGCCACCTGCCGCCCGTGCACCTTTGCCCGAACGGCCCACTTGGAGGCGGCAGGACTTTCTGGATTCCCGGGGCACCCCATCGGGAGAGTAGGACACCCCGGCCACCCCGCTGAAAGTCCCCTAGATCCTGTTCGAGGACCGCCGATCCATTTCCCGCTCTCTGCCCGCTCGCAAAGGACCTCGACATCGCCCCCCCCGACCCCCCCCCCCCTCCGACGACGACCCCCCCCCCCCAGACGGCAACGAGCACCCATCGGTACGGGGTCGGGGGTCTCGATCCCCCCGTCCGCCCCCTTATTGCTGACGCCCGAGGACGCCCCCTCCCTTCCCCCGCCGACGCGGCCGCTGCCGCCGCTACTGCTGCCGACAAGTTCGGGAGACAGAACCTTCTGAGGCCCCCTCGGAAGCCCTGGGGTCATCCTGAAGCAACTGGCGGAGATCCAGAGCTTACGACGGCATGCCGAATATCCTAAACGTAGACATTTTCGCTGCATGGTTGGGATGCGACGCGACGCCAGATCAGGCGCGCCAGGTTCGACCACGAGTGCGAGCGACGCATGGCGCGGGGCCGCTCGGCGAAGAACACCCTGGCCCCCACCTGGCAGGGCCGCATGTCGAGTGGACAGGGCGCGCCCACCTCGGACCCCGATGATAGCGAAGATTGGCGAGAACTTTTCCAGCGAGCTGCATCGCTCTAGAGTTGTCCGCCCTATCCCTGACTGGCCCACCCGGCGATGGGTTCGCGATGATTCATTGGCCCTGGGGTCGAATGCGGCATCCAGGGTCCGCCAGGTCATCCTGGAGATGAAGCCGGGTAAATCGTGTCCGAGGGGGGAAGTGTTGGCCGTGGAATTGTTTCAGGGCGCCTCGGATGTTTGTTCGAGATTCTGGCTGGTTGTTCGAGCTGCGGGGACTTCGCGATCCCGCGATGGACGCCCTTTCGGGCTGGGGCGAGCGCGGCGCCCACCTGATTGAGAAACGATTAACCTGTTATCGATTAAGAAGTGGCGTCCCATAGCGTAGCGGTGCCGTCAGTTCTGTGGAAGGCGCGCGTGGAGGTCCCGCCCGAGCTCGGGACTTGGCCAGCGGGCCGACTCTCCGAACCAGCTCGCTTTTCGCCCTGGCCACCAGATTGGAGAAGTGATGCTTGTTCGCCGCATCCTAATTGGAAATGCGATGGCGTTTCGGATCCCGTTGCACGTGGTGGCTGGCGATCTATACAAGTGATGCGATGGCGTGGACCATGGGGCGTGGCGCCGCGCTTTCAAGCTCGCGGGCGCGTCGGATATCCAGGCTGCAGCTCTGATTCGGGAAGTTTGAAAAAGTGGAGGCCGACCCCGCCCCTCTAGGCATCTTTTCTTGACGCGGATATCCAGGACCCGCCCTATCTCCCTGGGGGCCCCGACGGGCCGCGGATGTGAGACATCATCATGGAACGCGCCTTGGCGCTGCCGTTCCTTCCCTCGCGTGGGCGAGCCGGATGGAAAGATCCGATCGACCGCGAAGACTTCCGTGTCCTGGACGTGGATACTACGCCCGTGAAGAGAAACATGCGACGGCGGCAACATTCGATTGTTCCCCAACTTGATCTTCGCTGACAAATCCTGGATCTTCGAGGTCAATGCGGCGATGATCGCCCAGGCGACCGACGCTTGACGTTCGCTTGTCCGCGACGCAGGCTGGTGGGCCGATTTGCACGATGTGCCGTGGGCGGCGACATACCAAGATCCGTCTGCGCCTTCCATGCAGGACGTTTGGAAACAGCCCCCCCTTCCCCCCCGGCTCCATGCAGCGCGGCCCCCAAAGAAGAAAGCCGAGCCCTGCCATCCTGAATAGGCCCCGCCGTGCTTTAAGGTTCTTTTTTCGCTGCCCGTGAGTCGGGGATCAAGGTGCTCGGCCACCCGATCTAATTCGGCAGCAATGCTTCGACGGAGGTGGACCGTCGAATCCGCGCTGCCCGGTGCGCGTTCAGCCGTCACCGACGCCATCTCACGAGCAAGGCTGGATCGATATCAAGATGTTTGCGGCTCCTTCACAGGCGTGCACTGCCAGCGCGGACAAATCACGCGGGGGCTGTTCACCGGACTCAGGATTACCTCCAGAAGCTTCGGGTTGTTCAGATCCGCATGGGACGGAGAGTTTTCTGCAAGAAAATGACCACCCACCCCGGAAGCCCACCACCCGCCCCCCCTCTCCCGACGACGCCACGCGAAAACATGATGAATGCATCGATGGATCCAGATGACTAGGTCCAGGACATGTCAGACCTCTGGGGGGGGACCTCGATTCGCCTCAGAACCCAAAGACTATGACCCAGGAGGATCAGTGTCAGGAGAAGGAGGACGACGATTTCGAGGACTTCTTGGAGGATTACGTGGGCGACCATGCATCTCAGATCAACCGTCTCGTCAAAATTATCTGAGTAAGCTTGGCCCCGCCCTTTTGGGATTTCGTGTGCTTGCAACGCGTGTATAGCTGGTGCGGCCATGCGTGCCGTTTCGCGAAACACGAGCCCCGTAGGTTAGCCCTGCAAGCCCTCCTTTGGCGAGGTCAGGGGTACCTCCATGCAGTAAGCATTCGTTACGGGTCACAATGCCATGGATATGCGTTCAAGCCGCGGCGGTGGGAAGACCAGTCTAAGTCTGTTTCACTCGGTTTACAGTACCAGGCTCCCACGATGTATTCCGAAACTTGGCGCAGCCTTGGGACATCCAGGTAAAATCAGAGGACGACGGCCCGAGCCAATCGCTGACCGCCGAGCTGCGCCTCTTTACAACATGCCTCTTTCCAGCTTGCCTCTTTTCAGCTGCTGCTTTTTCCTCTTGGACGCAGAGCCGCATCGTATCGTAACCTTTTCTTCCTCCTCGATGTCGGTATCCTCATCTTCCTCCTATCATTACTTCCTCTTCCATGTCCTCCTTGGCATTACCCATCCCACCTCCCTATTCTTATCTCCCTTCCCACCTGCTCCTCCTGCTCTTCCCCACCGCCTTCTCCCTCTTGAACCCTCCGTTCCCTCTTTCTTCCTCGTCCATCCTGATCGCCCTCCCCCCTCCTCCTGAGCGTCCCCCTCCCTCCGTCGCCTTATTCCCTACTTCCTCCTGCTCCCCATACCTACCCCCCGCCCCCCCCATCCACCTCCATCCTCGTCCTTCCTTCCCCCCCCCCTTTTCGCCCATCCTCCCTCCCTGCCTCCATCCGTCCCTCCCCGTCTTCCTCCCGCACCCTCCTTCCTCGTCACCCTGCACCCGTTTTCTGCCGTCGCTCGACCCCAGGCACCCGGAGGACCCGCGGTTCAAGGAGCCCGAGGTGGCCAAGGTGCACCAAGGGGGGCTCAGGGCCGGGAGCACGGTCGCCGCGGGACAGGAGGACGCACGAGGGAGCGGCGAGGGCGAGGAGGAGGAGGTAAGAGGCGGAATGCAGAGGCGGATCAAGGAAGCGGAAAGCGACGAAGAGGATTGAGAAGAGTGGGGGGGGGAAAGGAGGCATAAGAGGACGAGAAGGAAGTGGAGGGGGAGGACGGCGCAGGGAGGAGCAGGGGCAATGACCTGGAGCAGGACGTAGCGGACGAAGGAGGACAATCGCGGGCATAGAAGGAGAAGGAGAAGGAGAAGGGAGAAGAGGAGGTGGAAAAGGAGGAGGAGGAGCAGGAGGAGGAGGAGGAGGAGGAAGGAGGGATCAGGAGGCGGAGTAAGAGAAGGGGGCTTTGGGTGATATCTTTGGACGATGGGGATTTGCGCAAGTCGCAATCCGAGTTTTATTCCGTGGTTGTGTTGAGTGGCGCAGAAGACTACGTTCGCCACCACCCCAGAGATAGCGTCACATCAAGACACAATAATGGTGACAGGAGGGGGAGGTATGAGGTAAACATCGAAAAGAAGATAACGCGCACGCCACCACTCACTCGGAAGGCACAGGCGAGTGGACCAAGCACTCACCGTATTCTCATCACCATGATCATCGTCGAGATCCTTCTGCGAAGGCGACATGTAGCGACAGGGCCGCCGAACGCTTCTTTGGTGAATGAGGGATGAGCGGCAATACCTCGCCATCATACTTGTTCTCTTCTTCATCCTCCTTACCCTAATATGGGAGGGTAGTGTATCCCTCTCTCCCAGAGTTGAGGGCAGGGGGGAACAAGTTCCCCAGTTTCCGCCCCCGCTCGCCTGTCCCCCGCAGTCCTACTGCTGTTCCTCAGTATCCCCCTCCTTCCCCGTCGTCCGCCTATTTTTGCCCAAACATGCCGCACCATCCGAGAAGCGGTCCACGCTTGGGCCACCTGGTATCCCAAAGCGTCCTCGTCCTATCTCCCCCCCCGCTCTGTCCGCGATGGTATGGCGTAAACGGCCGCGCCGCCACCTCGGCCTCTTCACCATATTCCTTCCTAACTTCCCCGCCATCTACCTCATGATCATTCGCCCCTCCCTCTGTCTCAGAGGGTGAACGCGTCGGGTGAACGAGAATCGACCGCGCGACCGACCATATCCCTTTCACCATATCCGTCGCTTCCTCCTGCACGCGTGCTTTGTGTATAGAGGCATACATGTGTATGCAATCGTTTACGCCACTTCGCCGACCCCCAAAAGAGGCATGACGTCCACGGTTGAGGCGTCGTGGGCCTCTTGCACACTGGGGATTATTGTGTGCGTCCTGGGAACCGTTTGGGGGCTTGGCGGAACACCAAGACATTCATGAGTTGGGTGCCTTCTTGCCCGTTTCAAGAGTAGTGCATGCTCGGTCTTGATGCGGAAGGACTCTTTCGGACATGAGGACGCTCCACCATGTGCCTCGCGGCACGTTGGCGGATAGCACATACTGTTTCCAATATGTTGTGATGCGCGCACATGCGACCCGCCTTCTATTCTTTGGTACGGGTTCGGTGTCAGAGGATGTGCGCCGCGTAGAACGACTCGCGTTGGAACGTGACCAGGCTGGATCGGGGTACGCACCGATGGGTGTGAATTCATGTCGGGAGGACGGTTGATCCAGAAACTGTGCGCAAACCCACCGGGGCAATACCCTGACCAACTGAGCCCCAATATGGCATGTATGGCGAGTCATATTCGTAAGCAATTGTTATTGCATGCTCGCACACACAAGCATTCATATGGACATAGGCGCACAATGAGTCACACGCATGTGCATACAGGAACAGATGTTTAAACATAGCTAAACGCACACCACATACATATAGAGAGAGAGGCGGCGAAAGAGCGAGAGGAAGAAAGAAAGGGAGATAGGAAACGGGCTATATATATAAAGAGCGAGGGATTGAAATACTCATCAAACATATACATACAGCAAGACACCAGGAACCAGAACGACGATGCACATGTACGTATGTGTATATACTTATAGACTGACAGAGACAGAGAGAAGAGACCATGAGAGAGAGAGAGAGAGAGAAAAAAAAATGAGATAAAGAGAGTGAGAGATGGAGAGAGACAGACAGACAGACAGACAGACAGACAGACAGACAGACAGACAGACAGACAGACAGAGACAGACAGACAGACAGACAGACAGACAGACAGACAGACTGACAGACAGACAGACAGACAGACAGACAGACAGACAGACAGACAGACAGACAGACACACGCATAGACACACAGACACACAGACACACACGACAGACAGGCAGGCAGGCAGGCAGACGGACAGACAGCGAGCCAATTTTGAAGTCGGCGGCGCCAGCGGACGAGGGCGCGGCCGTCGGCTAGCGGCAGGGGGTTCCGGCAGCGGGCGCTAGAGTGGGTTGGAAAGAAGAGGGCGATCGCGGAGGATGAAAAAACAAACACGTACTTTGGCGGCCCGAAATGCTCAAGCGCGGGGGCCCTGGCTGCGCCACCTGGCGCAGCAGCCGTCCATCTCAGGCCCAGACCGCCCGTGCCGCGCTGGCCCATGTTCTCCCTGCAGGGGGGCGCGGGGGAGAGGGTGGAAGAAGAGGGAGGGGGAGGATCAATGTAGGAGGATGAGGAGGAGGAGGAGGAGGAGGAGAAGGAGGAGGAGGAAAAGAGGGACAGCGGATAGATGGGAGATGGGGGGACCGAGGAGGACGCATTCCCCCCCCCCAACCTCCCAAACCCACCCCTGGCAACCTCGCCCATCCCCCCCCCCTTCCCCTCCTCTCCTTCCCCATCTTCACCCCTTTCCCCTTGGCTTTCTCCCTCCCTTCTCTCTTCCTCTGCCGCCCGCCCCTGCTGCGCCTTGCGAGGCGATTCCCTCCACTTTTCTGACCATCCTCTTTCCCCCCACCCCCCTCCCCTCTTCCAGTCCTCCCCGTCCGCCTCCTTCACTCTCTCCCTTCCCCCTCCCCATCTCGCTCCCATGGCGCCGCCCCTGTCCCCAACCTCTCCCTTTCCCCGTTACTCTTCCTCAAGCTTCCTCATCCGTTCCCGCCGCTCGCAGGGGAGGGTGCCCCCCCTCAACCTCAGCCTCTCACGTTGGCTCTGCACCCTCATCGTCGTCCTCGTCCTTGTCCTCGTCCTTGTCGTCATCTTCATCATCATCATCAGCATCATCATCATCATCAGCATCATCATCAGCATCATCAGCATCATCGTCATCATCATCATCATCGTCATCATCATCATCATCATCGTCATCGTCAGCGGCATCGTCATCAGAATCACCGTGATCGTATTCAATCGGGCACCACCATTGTCAGCATCATCATCATGCTCATGATCATGATCATCCTGATCCTCATTTGCATCCTCATCATCATCACAAGCATCATAATCATCAACACCACCATCATAATCATCATCATCATCATCATCATCATCATCATCATCATCTTCTTCATCATCATCATCATCATCATCATGATCATCGCCGTCAGCCCCACCAGTAGCAGTACCATTATCCAGTACAATAATGTTAGCACTGTACTCCTCATTATCACGACCACCAGCATCATCATCATGGTCGTCGTCGTCACCACGCTCGTCTTCGTATCATTCGTCCTCATCGCTATGACCGTCCACATGCCCCTGCCTTGCCTTTCGGTTATCTTGCTCCCGATCGTCATCCTCGCTTTTTTCCTCGCGCCCGAGCGGAGAGGTGCTTCATGACACAGCCACAGGCCTCGGCGTGCTGCACAAGTGCAACTTTGCCCACCTGGACGTGAAGCCGGACCTGAGAGAGGAAGAGGTGGAGGAGGAAAAGGGTCGAGGAGGAGGGCGAGGAGGAAGAGGAGGGTTGGAGGGCAGAGACAGAGAGGGAGGGAGGGAGGGAGGGAGGGAGGCGGAGAAGGAGAAGGGATGAGGGGGATGATAAGAAGGAGAAGGAGGAGCAGAGGCACAGGAGGAGGAGGAGGAGGAGGAGGTGAGCGGAAACTGCAGAAGTGGAAGCAGAGAAGGTGGGGCAGGCGAAGGGGAGGACGAGACGGGAGAGAGGAGACGCATGGAGGGAGGACGGGGGGGACGCAAGGAGGAGGAGGAGGCCCCAGCAGGGTGGGCGCGCGGAGGATGGAGGCACGAGAGGGGGTGGGCGATGGACCAGGAGAGGCCCGGGAGCCAACGGGCCGACAAGGCCCCCGAGGCAGCTCGCGCCTCGGTTTCGGCCCAGCGAGGCGGCCGGTCACTGGAAGGGGGGGCGCCGCTGGCTTGGCGCGCACGCGCGCCACGTTCCGCGAAGAGGGAAAGGGGGCCGGGAGGGAGGGAGAGAGGCAGGGAGGAGGAGGGAGGAAAGAGGAACGAACCAGGGGGGAGGGAGGAAAGAAAGGAGGGGGGGGGAGGAGAGGAGGAGGAGGAGGAGAGAGGAGGAGGAGGAGGAGGGGAGGAGGAGGAGAGGAGGAGGAGGAGGAGGAGGAGGAGAGGAGGAGGGAGGAGGAGGAGGAGGAGGAGGACGGTACCATGACGACCGCGATGACGAGGAGGAGGAGAAACAGGAGAAGGGCCAAGAAAGAAGGACAAGGGGAGAGAGAACTGGTCAGGAGGAGAAACATAATGGAGCTAGTTGGTGGACGGCTGTAAGTCGACGATCGGGTATCGATCCATCGCTATTGAACATGACCATGGGCTCGGTAGACTTGCACCTCTGTAGTTCACGAGTTGATCGTGTGGGTTTTCCGAGGGGGGGCATGACAAGATTTGATGTGTAGTGCGCGACGGACAGCAGGTAATCCGAAGAAGCGGCGGCCTGATGACCTTTGGCAGCGCACAGGGTGCATCTGACTTCCACATTAGGTATTGCCTTGAGGCGGTCAGGCGCAGAGGGGCGGAACAGGGGAGTGGAGCGGGGGGCAGCAAGAGGAATATGAGAGGCAGCATGGAAGATGAAGGTGAGAAAGGGGAAAACATGGAGTCAGATGATATCCCCTACGAGGCTTGGAGGACCATGGGCAATTTATCCGTGGACGTTCTGTTTGGGGATTTCCAAGATTTGTCATCTGGTTCGGCGGAGGCGCAGATTGATGAGGAGTACCCGGACTTCAACGGCAGTATCCTGCATTTCTTGCCCAAGAAACCGCGGGGAAGTCGGAGGACGGCACTAATCTCTACGATCCAGCGGCCGCCCAACGTGACCAATGCGGACAATAGATTGCTAGCAAGTGCCCCCAGATTCCTGTTGGAACCTGTGTTGGGCCCCCCTCGTCATGAATTGGTAAAAGGGAGTTCATCTGGGGGCGCTCGATGCTAGGAACATCATTGACGTGGATGAGGCGTTGCTCTACACCGCGGCGGAGGGGGAGGAGGGCATGGCCTTCTTTTTTGACTTTGCCGCGGCCTTCCCCTCGGTCGAGCAGAAGTTCTTCACTCGTTGTTGCCAGTCTGTGCGGTGGCCACAATGGCTCATGAATGTCATCTTCACGTTCGACTGGAACAATATGTGCCAGATGCGGGTGTGCGGCATTCGGTACGATGGCTTCCAGTTGGCCAGGGGCATATAGCGAATTGCCCTCTCTCTCCGCTACGACTCGCTGCGCGCTCGGACTTGTACTTGCGCCGGCTTCAACGGACCCTTCCGGGTAGTGCGATTCAGTCGTTCGCGGATGAGCCTCGCCTTCGTGACCGCCAACTCGCGAGACAAATTGTGGATGTTCCAACAATTCTTTTCCGAATTCGGCGCGGTCTCGATTTCCCGAGCGTGGTGCTGGTGCCGACGGATCCTGTGTCACAGGAGCTCACGCGGACACTGCGGGCTTGGGTTGGGGCCGAGGCCCCTGTTGGGCGCTAGCGCTGATGCAGGATTCCGCCAAGTGCCTTGGCTTACGCGTGGGCCCTGGCCGGGGCTCCGTCTCCTGGACGGCGCCGCTGCGAAATGAGATCGAGCGGGCGGCTTTCTGGGGGGGTCTTAGCGTCGGCATGATCCTGACCCTCTAGGCTTACCGAGCGCACATTCCTTCGGTCCTTTTGTTCATGGGCCAAGTGGAGGACCCTCCGCCGCAACTGCAGCAAGAGGAAGCCCAGGCCTTCAAGAAGATGATCCGAGGCCCGAAAGATTGGATCACTGCAGAGAGCGCTAGTAAACACAAGACCTCGGTTTCAACGATCAGCTCACAGACCTGCCTTCCTATTCCTACGGCTTCCAAAGCCCTGGTGGTTGAGTGGGAAGCGAGTGGACGCTTGCGCATCCGCCAAAGGGCCCGGAACATGCAGCAGCTCCCTGCGGGAGTACAACCATCGCTTCAAAGGCTCGGCTGGCTGCACGCATGGCGAGACAGCTGCTTCATCCCCACTTTGGAAGGGCCGCGGGGCGCGTCAATGTCCATAGGCGCGCCAATCCAGATGCCCCCCCAGTGGCACTGCAAGGAGGGCTGGCAAAAATATACAATCGAGCAGCCGCATGGCCCAGCACACGTGGACGCCCAGATCCACCTCCAGAAAAAGCTCCAGCACTGGCCGTCGGCATGTCTACCCGGCCACCAGCTGACACCGACTTTCCGCAACTTGCAGCTCGTTGGGCGACGCTGCCAGCCGCAGGTTTGGGCCGCAGTGTTTCGTTTTCCACGCAGCGGGTGGTGCACGCGATCGCGCTTCGGCCAAGCTGGCCCCTGCAGGTTGTGCAATGACGGGACGGACAGCATCAGGCACCTCGCTTACTGTCCTGTTGTCCGCACGTTACAAAGTAGATTTCTGGGCGTTCCTCGACCCGGCCCCGACTTCGAGCTTGACGCCTTGACGGGATTGGATGGGCACCTACATGGCGAGCGCGCCGTGGTCGACTAGGCCGTACACCACGCTTTGTACCGCGCGCACAACGGGCGCCGCCACGGCACACTCACGCTGCAGGACGCCAGTGGCAATTTCGACGGCTGCGCGCGAGAGGCCTATGGGCGGCCAACAGAGTAGGCCAGCCGCGTTTCCTGCCCCTTTTTTTTCCCCCCCCCCCCTCTTTGCCGCTGCGTTCGTGATTCCTTTCCTTCTAGGTTGCTCCTGTGGGACCCTGTGCGTACACCGACTACAGGTTGGTTGGCGCGCGCGCGAGCTCATTCCCCTTCTCCTGCTCATGCTGGCTTTTTTTTTTCCCTTCTCTCCCGTCCCGCGCTTTGTGCGACACGCCGGCGTCCACCCAGCAACGGTGCTGCCAGGTGTTGATTGCTTCGGTTGGTTGCCCATTCGTTTTCTTCTTTTCTCATATTTCCCCTTCGCTGCCTCTCCTGCCTCCTAGCTGCGGCCCGATGTTGGCTCTTTCTTCATCTGAGTTCCGGTCTGACCCAGTAAGGTTATCCACAGGTGTCGCCGCAGCACTTCTTTAATTTGGTAGCCGCCGCCTCGCGCCTTCTCGTGGCATCCTCCGCCGCTCGGCTTCTGGCATGGGCCAGCTGCCGCGGGAAACGTGTAGATCGCTCACCGCCCGTGGCCTAGGGAACCCGCGAGCCACCAGTTTTAAGAAACGACACACACACACAAAACAAAAAAACTGTGCCGCTGGGCTGCAACAGCCTGCCCAGCCCTTGCCGTCAGATTTTTCCCCAACCTTCTTATACATCTTCTTGTCCGCCTCCTTCGCCTCCCCCTCGCTGCACGACTGCCTGTGCCGAGCTAGCTCCGTTGGTTCGGGCCGCCCTGCGGTGCAGCCGAGTACTCTTGCGGGGCTGGGGGGGATCCGCGCTTGTCCATACTTTGTTTGTGCATGATGTTTCGCGTTCGCTGGCCGTTCCGTTGCCTCCCGCCCCTTGCTGGCGCGAGTTGCGATCCGTGTCCCCTTTTTCTTTTGGTTATTCGTCTTGTTGCCTCTTCTCTCGCTCGCCTCACTTGACCTATCCCTGCTGCTCTCTTCGTCGCCTGCTCCGCTGCTTGTCTTCTTCTTGTCTGTGCCCCCTTTTTTTTCCTGCCGTTGTTGTTCCTCTGCCTGCTGTTGCTGCTGCTGTCCACGCGGCGCGGTACGCCCCTGATTCGAATCGCCAAATCGCGCTGGATGGGCGCGGAAAACTGCGGGCCCGAATCAGTCCTATCGGCGTCCTCCTCCTCCTCCTCCTCCTCCTCCTCCTCCTCCTCCTCCTCCTCCTCCTCCTCTTTGCCGGCGCCGCTGCGCGATTTCAGTGGCAATGTGACCGTTCTCGCGCGGTGGTCAGATGCGGGAGCGGTTGCTCTGGGGCGGCGTTTTGACGAACAAAATCAAGGCGGGACAAAGGAGGAAACTGGACTGATGATGGTTGTTTTCGTTGCTGCTGTCCTCCGCGTGGTTATGTATTGCGCTGCTGTGCCAGTGCCGTCAAAACACGCAAGACCAGCACGTCAGACCACGGCACACCATATGCTTTGTTAACCACGCATGGCCGTGAAGAGTGCTTGGTCTTTGCGAACATGAGAAAATTAGAAGGAGGATGGACGACGACTGAAGATGGAGGAGGCGGAGCATGGATGAGGAACGAGGAGGAGGCCACCCAAGGAAGAGGAGGAGGAGGAAGAGGAGGAGGAGGGAAAGGAGGAGGATTGAAAAGTGATGAAAGTTTCCGGCACGCCGTAGTGCTCTACTTCATCGTCGCGGCCGGTTGCTTTGTGTTCGCGGCCGGCTGCGTATTCAGGGAAAGAGCGCGCGCGCCGGCATAGACCAGGCTTCGGCGCTCGCTAGAAGAGGAGGAGTACGATCACGAGGCCGACGAAGACCCCAGATGCCCGAAGAGTGTGCATCGTGTTTGTTTCCCCGCCGCTCCCGTTTTCTTCCCCCCGTTCGCTCCCGCACTT